CGGAAAGCGCAGGGCTGGCACTTAGCCTTGAGACCTCTGCTACTTCCTTTCCAAGCCATTCTGTGTTTGTGGCAAATGAGGTCATTATGTCAGAGGGAGGACACTATGTCCGTGCCATTCTGACCTTCGCCACAAATACGGGAGTAAGACAGTGTTGTTAATCTGTCAGTAGGTTATGACCTTGAGTGAGTTATTGCTCCTCTTTGCATTTCAGCCTTTGTCACCTATAAAATGAGGGAATTCATATATATGATTCCTGGCCATGAATGAGGGAAATGTTAAAATCTTCCCAAAACGGGGATCATTAAAAATCCCATAGATGGGTAACATTTTTGGAAGATGGTGGCCATGCCTCCTCCTCAGAATGTTTCTTAGAATGTCAAGTAAGCTTGGCAAAAATATTTACTCCTATGAAGCATAAATCATACTGTTTTTATCGGAAGGTTTTATACTGTTTATTAACAGCCAAGGAGACTGCTGCCCTAGGGGATGTATCGGAATCACAGAAGGACTGTGTCAGCACTGTCCCTTCTGTACCCCTCCTACCGTTAAGAATCATTGCCATAATAAGGCACTCGTACTGGTGTGCCACATGAATTGGGGCAAAAGAGATGACACATTTTTATGAAAAAGCAAATATTGAGATATTCAGGTGTTTTTTATCTACATAGAATCTTTTTTATGTATATAGTCAAAGATATAGAGACAGATAAAAATTATCTAGTTCTGTAGCTTTAATTATAAGACATAAAAGTTTTACCTCTTTGATAGCGCTTTCTCCCATCAACATAGGTAAGAGTTTTTTTTTTCCTCTTATTTTGTTTTAAGGCATCTGTACAAGTACGAATTTCACTGATCTACTTAGTATTTATCAAACCACTTACCTGAGTTCAAATAATACTTAGTTCTTGCGCTCTGTTATTAATCTAGCATTCTGTGTTTGATTGATTGAGGTTAGTAATTTGAATTCAATGGAATGTGATAAAGTTTTATTGACGAATATAAGGGAGTCAGGGACAGAGTCCCATTTTGTACTTGATATTCTAAAGATAATCATCAAAGAACTCAGTGGGTGACATGGAACTCATTACTTCAATTCAAGGCCCCAGAAATACTAAGGTCTACTTAAGTAGAAACTATGAAATAAACTGAAATCAAGGAATCGGGTACAGGAATTGAGGCAGATGTACTTTGTGTTTTAAGAGCAGACATACACCAATGCTTCCATGAAAAGAAGAGACCCACTCACAGGGATCAGCCCTTTCTCCATCCCTCCTTTTCTTTGCTGACAAGCTCAGTAGTACGTGTGCATCTTCCTTTTGTTCCCACTCATGGTGTCGGATAATTTACTAATAGCTAAACAGCCAGAATCATTGGCTCTTATCTTTCTGAAATTACACAACAATCCTTGGGTCAATTCAGGGGTGGCACTTGTTGGAACTGATGCCTACAGCCAAAGTGTACAATTGAGTTTTTTTCCTCCTCTTTTTCCCTTTCAGCCCCTAGCTATGTTTTAGTTGCATGGCAACCCATCTGCTATGGTAGCTGATGTCAGCTCATTTTCACTTAAACTTAGCCCAGGGAAGTTTTCAAGGAGGGCATTTGAGTTTGTCATGCTAGGGAAGGCTCCAGTTTGTGTTACCAAATCATTTGTAAAACTGCAGACTAATGGGCTCTGGCAGGCTAAATGTTAATGTGGATGTCACAAGGGATTAGGTTCCAGAGCAATGTGGCTTTAGGGACTCTTTCTAACTTCTAGGAGCTTAGCAAATGAGCCTCGGCCATATTCTCTTGGCTGCTGACATGTTCTCTGCAACAAAGGAATAGGAACTATCCAAAAATTACCCTCACTTTAAAGGAATAAGAAGTGTCCAAAATTACCCTAACTCCTGAATATTCGCATTTTGCCAAATGCTTGATGTAGCTCCTCTGAAAGAAGGGCCAGCATTTTAACTCAGTGCCCACCCAGCAATTGGAAGGAAAGAGCAATAATCTAGTGTAGAGTGTAACAAGTGAGAACTCGTTATAAACTCTTTAATCCAGCAGAGGGCAGAAGGGAGTTTTAGCTTTTGGCCACCTTTGACTATCCAAACAAAACTGTGACAATCTAAGGCAAAATTCAGAGGCACGCTTGTAAACAGACTGCCTCCAGCCTGTTAATACACAAGTTATTCTGACTGTAGTAACAGGTTCCAGCCAGTGCTCAGAGCCAGTTTGATCCTATCTATGCAAAAGGATGTATAGATTATTGAGTTATTTATGCCTAAGAAGGGACAACAATGTCATACCCAAATAACAATACCACTTCTAATCAAGTCAGATCTTACTTACCAACCGTTTATGATTATGGCACTCCAGGGCTAGACTATTGGAAATAATGAGTAAATTATTCCATGATCAAATGTTTCTCTTTTAAAGTAAGTGTACCTCCATGCAAGTCTATAAAAGAACGAAAATGATTTTCACAACCTACTCTGGCTTCTGAGAAGGCAGTCTTACCCTTCTATAGTGAAGCTGCACCTCAGGGTGACAGCATCTGTGACATTGTGAAGATGAGGTGAATACTGAAACGTGATGACAGTTGAGAGGTTGTCCTGGTGTTTATGTAATTTTAAATCCTGATTGCTAATTTTGGCTTCCGAAAAACAGTTGTTAAAATGAAAACAAATTCCCCACGCTGATTTGTAGTGACGGCTATTTTTCTTGGGTGATGTGTTCTTGTCCTAGGCTGGGTTCCGCAGAAAGCAGCCCCTGGAATGGAGTTAGGATGTTTACTAAGAAGCACCCTGGGGATCAGCACCTGTGGAAGGGAGGGGGGGTGGGAAGCAGAATCAGGCAGAGGGAGAAGGTGGGTTTCCCAGCAGGCCCGGTGTCAGCCTCAGCTGGCCCCTCTGGGAACTCTGGGTTCACATGATTCCAAAGTATCCTGAACAGGGGCACTCCTACATTGGTCAATTATTGGATGTACACCCTCCACCCGCACCCCAACCACAGGACATGACCTTGGTTTGAGGTGGCTCTTTGCAGCTGAGACAGTCCTTAAGGGATTGGGCTGACAGTTCTCCTAGCCATGGAGACAAGAAGAGTGATCTGTGCTGTGTCACCTCACAGCACAGTTTGTCTGAAAAACAGCCCCCAAAATCAGGTACACTAGATTTTCTTTTTGATAAATCGTTTACTCTTTAACGTTGGATAACTTATTGATGGCTTTAAAAATAAAGTAATAGCTTGCTCTATATTTCAGTCTGTATGGAAGGAAATGATACTAAATAAAAGACTTTTTCATGGCTAATGTGTTTTGAAAAATAGGAGTTGAAAGAGTAAAAAAGAGCACACTTTTATAAATGAGAGTTAAGTTCTGAAATATAGTGGTAGCATAAACACATCTACGTGGTTTATTTATTTGCGTTGGGATTGTTCTATGAATAACAAACCGTGTTGATTAGGTAATTACAATGAATAATGGAATTGTGGTTTGTGGTAGTTCTTTGCTATCTTTGGGGAAACGTTGGTAAATAAGTTACAGAGAGAGATGCTGGTAGTTTGTCAGATAATGAAGCACAAGTGAACATATCATTAAAAAGGAGGCAGGGAGGGTAAATTTGTATGTTGTTCATAGACCAGTCATTTATGTCTAGCCTTTATTTAGCACTTCATGTTTAAGCCTTGCTAATTCCATCTATCCCTTTGTCATTCAGTCATAGCTTCAGTTGTGTGCCGACTGGGTGCAGACCCCATGGCTGCTCAATACATATTTGAGACTCTCAAAGAGCTCACAGTATCATAAAAAAATCACGTTTGTTATATTTATCATCAATGTCATCAGAAAAGTATACAACTTGGGAAGATGTTAAGCTCATGGTGCAGGACATGAGTGTCCTAAAATTTATTTTTTTCTTGAAAGCTCCAGTTTTTTTCATTGCCAATAAATATATCATTTGTTTTCATGAAGACAGGCTCATTGCAGTCATGTTTTACAAAAATGTCTAACAAATTCCCAAGTCTGAATATCCATATTTTATCAGTTGTTCTTGAAAGTAAAAATGTTACTCTGGGAACAAGGCAGCTAATTTAGCCCACAACTCAAAAGGGTCACATGAGTGCTTTTCTTAAAGACAGGTTTTGTATTTCAACATGAAGAGGAACTCCTTTATGGCTAGTTCGTATTTTCATCAAACAGAATATAAGAAAGGTGGCTCAAGAGTTATGATTTAATAGAACTATCCCCCCTACCCCCCTTTTTTTTCTATTAAGGGTTTTCTTAAGTGAAACTGGATTTTTTTTTCTTATAATAATTCTACTGCATATCAGTACTAATGGAGCCAATGACTGACTGCTAGTGCAGTTTGGTGCCACTGTCCTGACAAAATTGCTAAGGCATCAACAGTTTTGCCCTCCATTGCTTTTGTACCATTGGTTCAAGTGTCAATCCAGTGAAAAAAGTCAGACGGTGCATTAGTAGTATTCTGAAAAGAATTATGACCTCACTGCCTCATGAAAGTGTCCCACTTTCATTATCCACAGCCCACATTGAGAATGGCCAGTATACAGAAAGGTTTTAAGCAGGGAGCACCAAGGGGCAGGAGGCTGCTTTGGCAGGAGACAGAAGAGCCTGGCTTCATGTAATTGCAGCCGAGATGGACAGCAGGGAAGGGAGGGTTGAAGTTCACTGAGGTTTTCAGCCTGGGTGACTGAGTGGATGGCAGTCCCACTCACCAAGGTGATGACGGGTGGAAGAGGAGCCCTGGTTTTTGATTGAAAATGATACTGCCATTACTATGAGAGAAAACTCTGTCATAATTCTCCCACTTGAGAAAGGATGGATTGTAGCCCTGCAGAGAAAGAATTAACTGCTGTTGGCTGGGTCTGTGCTGGAGTGTAAGATCTGGTTTTGTACTGATCATATATAGTGGTTTTGGAAGCTCAGCACGTTCTATGTTGATGCCTAAGACTCTTGTGTCTGTGCTTCCTGTAACGGTGCTTTCTCTTTCTGTTTCTAGGAATGGTGCAAAAGCTGGACCAAAAACTCCCAGTGGCTAATGAGTACCTGCTGCTCTCTGGAGGAGTCCGGGAGGGTGTGGTGGACCTGGACTTAGATGAGCTCAATGCCTATGCCCGGGGCACAGACTACGATATGGACTTCACCCTTCTGGTGCCAGCGCTTAAGCTGCATGACCGTAATCAGCCCGTGACACTTGATATGCGCCACTCAGCCTTGTGCCACTCTTGGCTGAGCCTTCGGCTCTTCGATGAGGGTACGATCAGTAAATGGAAAGACTGCTGTACCATCGTAGATCACATCAATGGTGCCACCAACTACTTCTTCTCCCCAACCAAAGTGGCCGACTGGTTCTACGACTCCATCAGCATCGTCCTGTCAGAGATACAGAAGAAACCCCAGCGAGGGATGCCAAAGGTGGAGAAGGTAGAAAAGAATGGGACCCTCATCTCCATCATTCTGGGCGTCGGGAGCAGTCGCATGTTGTACGATATTGTCCCTGTGGTGTCTTTCAAAGGTTGGCCGGCAGTGGCCCAGAGCTGGCTCATGGAGAACCACTTTTGGGATGGGAAGATCACCGAGGAAGAGGTCATCAGTGGGTTTTACCTGGTGCCTGCTTGCTCCTTCAAAGGCAAGAAGGACAATGAATGGCGGCTGTCCTTCGCCCGGAGTGAGGTGCAGCTGAAGAAATGTATCTCCAGCAGCCTCATGCAGGCCTACCAGGCCTGCAAAGCCATCATCATTAAACTCCTGTCCCGGCCCAAGGCTATCAGCCCCTATCACCTGCGGAGCATGATGCTCTGGGCCTGCGACAGACTTCCCGCCAACTACCTGGCTCAAGAAGACTATGCAGCCCACTTTTTGCTGGGCCTCATCGATGATCTGCAACACTGTCTGGTCAACAAGATGTGCCCCAATTATTTCATCCCTCAGTGCAACATGTTGGAGCACCTCTCAGAGGAGACGGTCATGCTGCACGCGCGGAAGCTGTCCTCTGTCCGCTCGGACCCCGCCGAGCACTTGCGCACCGCCATCGAGCACGTCAAGGCAGCCAACCGGCTGACCCTGGAGCTCCAGAGGCGAGGCAGCACCACCAGCATCCCCTCCCCGCAGTCCGACGGGGGGGACCCCAACCAGCCAGATGACCGTTTGGCCAAAAAACTGCAGCAGCTAGTGACTGAGAACCCGGGGAAGTCCATCTCTGTGTTTATTAACCCTGATGATGTCACAAGGCCCCATTTCAGAATTGATGATAAATTTTTCTGAGCATTTTACTGCCCTTTTTTTTTTTTTTTCCTGATTGTAAAACTCTCAATGTGTTGTGTGGTTTGTGATGCTGTCTTTCCTTTTTTTTTTTTTTTTTTTTAAATATATCCAGCCTGGATTGGATCTGTTAAGAACACATTTTAAGTCTCCTGTTTCTGGAGGATGGTGCAGGCTCTGAAACAGTATATTACTATTTCATATTCTGCCTCTGGTTTTGTTGTTTACTTTTTGTAGTTATTGTCACATAGTTTGGTTTTTGTTTTGTTTTGTTTTAAGGAGAATGTGAGCCATAGGTGAAAATGCCCATCAATTCTCTTGCTTTTTTCTGTTTCATACTTTGCGCAAATTTGTTACTAGGGATGGGGAAACAAAACTCTTTCTGACACATGAAGATTATTTTTTTGGTTTTGTCATTTTTTTGTTTTTTTTTTAAATGAGCTTTCATCACTACAGATACGTGAGAACCATCTGAACCTGGGAACTACCTGGTGTGTTAGCTGGATTGAATTCTTTTGACCAGCGGCCAAGGTAGTTCTCCCCTCTCCACCAAACAATGTAGACTCGGAAAGTGATAATGCTACAAATTGTGTTTGAAGCATCTTCATTGAATGTAATTGTCCTCAAATCAGAACTTTGGATGGTTTGGAGGGTTTGATAACTTTCTAAACAGAATTAAGGTTTCCAAATGGTAGTTTTAGTGTGTGTAATTATTTGAAGCCTTATTTAAATCCTGTTAAAGAACATACCATTATAATTGTTATTTGCACTACTGAAATCTTTGCCATTGTCAGAGTTCCAATGTGTGTGTTTCAATATAAATTGACATCCACTGTTGAAATGCTGTCAGTTTTTTTTTCATTTAGCCTATTTCTCTCAATCAGTAGAATGAGTCTTCTGTTTGTTTAGTTCTGCTTTAATCGTGGGGTCCTGTTGTGCCCTCTTTGATATTCCTGGTTCCTGTGTTACTGAGAGAAGTTTTTAAAGCTTTATACCTGCTAAGTGACTTTACCTGAAGCTGGGGAAAATATATACTTGATAGAATAGGTGTCTTTGTATGGCTTTCTTTTGGGGTTAGAAAGGTAAGCTGTTTTGTAAAGTCTCTTTGCATCTGAGAGTTTTAAGGAAAACTGGCAGGAAGAATTTATAATCCCCAAATAGATGATACCATGCCTGTTCAAAAGCATGTTTTGCTGCAGAGCAGGAGCCAGGACGTGTCTGTGGCGTGGCAGCCTTGGTGTCAAGGTAGCCTATCTTCATGAATGAAATTACTTGCCAGGTTTTGGTGCCACAAGGCATTAGCTCCTTGTTTTGGTATGGACTCGTGGCAAACTGGTGGTTGAGAGGTCAGGGAGCCTGCTGATCTCTCAAAGGATGACAATGATGTCTGCTATTGGAAAGGTCAAGCAACATTTTGGTTTTGATCTCAAATGTCCCGACTTACAGGTTCTCTTTGGGCCAATTGAAATCAGGCATATGTGGTCTTGGGTTTTTGCATGGGAATTAATGTAATGCTTATAAATGAAAATGAACTCATTCAACCATTTCCAGTCAAACACACACACACACACACACACACACACACACACACACACACTAATAATAATAAAAGAAATATACTGGCCTTGGAATTTTTTTGTTGTTGCTATTGTTAGTTTGTAAGCTGGAAATGATTTTCTTACTAGTAATACCAACAGTAATTTTCAGTAAAATTGGGAGCTGCTGTTGTCTTTGAGGCCAGATGTTCATGTAGTGAATACCCAGTAATCTTTCTTCCCTTTCCCCAGTTCTCCTACTAGTATCTACCTACCCTCCACGTAATCCATTTCCTTCTTGGGAAATGACTTCACCCCCAGCTCCAGACTGCACTCCAATTGGTGTGGGCCAGTTGACATAACCATTTCAATGGCCACAGTCATTAATCAGGGATTGGGCATGGAATGAAAGCTGCTCCAATCAGAGACATACTCAGGATTCTAGCTTGGGATGCTGGGCAGAGGCATGCGCACTAGGTACTGAAGAAGCACTTGGCCTCTGTTGCTCTGACAACTGTCTCATAATCATGACTAGAGCCAGCGTGAGGATGAAACTGACATTGGTTGATACTATGGAAAAATGGGGGGAAAAACCCATGAGTCACCAAGTCTGAGGCCTCTCCTCCCCTGGACTTTCTAGTTAAATGAGCCAACACTTAGTCCTTTTAGCGGTTTGAATTTGGTCCAATTCATCAAACTATTTAATCTGGTATACCAAACTATTCCAGTGTACTTAAGCTGTTAATATTTAACTTGATGTGTGTCTCTTTTTGGTATAGATATTGAAAATAATCCATATAGTTTATCTAAAAGCCGGTTTTTGTTATCTGGTTTAATTAATTCCAAAGACCATCATAGCCTCTATAATTAATAAATGTTTACCTGGTCTTAAGATTTATTATACTTTGATCATTATGCTAAACTTCCTAGGTTAAAAGACATTGTTATACACCACTGAAGTAGCAAGCATATTCAACGGCATTGGCTACCTTTAAAGTCAACTATAAACTGCCATAACTGTGCTGAATTGGCATCTCGAATACAATTAGCAGCATTTATGATATTATTAAATGCTGTGCTTTCCCACAAAATTTCATTACAGGTGTCATAGGAACCTGTTTCTGTGATCTTCTCTGCATGTTTTTTTTTTCCCCCCCTTTTGCCACCTCTAGTCCTAGTGAAGAACACTACACATTCTTGGTTAAACTTCATAAAAAAAGTTCAGAGGCCCCTAGGATCTAGTAATTTTCAAACTCTTTTTTAAATCTTGGAATTCGCTGTCTGTACCATGACCCTGAGACTCTTAGGCCAGACATTGTGGAAGGTGGCTAGACACAGGATGCAGTCTGATACCTTGTCTGAAACTTAGATAATCTTTGAACTGCTAACCTTTTCTTCTGATGCCCAGAAGATTGGTTAAAAGTCACTCCTGTTTCAAGTACAATATAAGATGCCTTAAGACTGGAGTCATAATTTCAACATTATTTATAACCGATTTTTTTGGTTGTGGGAATTTACAGGCTGTCAACAGGTTTTCAATTCCCTGTTGGGACCTGGTTCCACATATTTCAAGAGTAGATTAGCTTCTACCTACTGCCTTTTTCATCTGAAATGGAAGTTCTGAATATGCAAGAAAAGATTGGCTTTAGAGTAGATGGAGTCAATTAGGACCAGAGATTTTAAAAGTAGGAATATCCCTGAAATGTACAGAATTATTTCAGAGGCAATGAGAGGCAGGCATACGTGGCTCGTTTTACGTTCAGGCAGAGATGTGAGGAGCAGGGAGGAGGCTTCTCGGGTTAGGCGCAGAGCTTGCACGCTCTTGGAGGTTTCTTTGGGTGACTGTTTTATAACACTCCCTTCCTGGGAGGAATAAGCCCATTGCTGGTCACAGCTAAGTGTTGATTATTTGGGGTCAGATCATTACCTTGCTGAGAAAAATGTCCTGACCTGGAGTTCAGCTGGGATGGGATTGCTGAGAAGGAAAAGGAAGCTTGTGCTTAGGAGCAGCTGCCGGACTCAGGTCAGGGGGGCTTCCTGCTGCTGCAGATCTCTGCTGTAGTCTTCAGGGAGCTACCTGAACTTCCATCCTGAAGCTCTTTCCAGAACCTTCTCTCTTGAGTCGCCCAAAGGCTGCTTGTACGGCTGTTTCACTTCCCCCCTGGTCATTAATAGGGGTCAAGGAAAGAGTTTTCTCTCACGGGATGCTACTTATGCTAAAGGAAAGGTGGACCTCACTTCCTGTTACTGTTACTTTATTCATATCAGGTAAATACATATGTTGTTGTTTTTAACTGATTGAGCTGATGTAATTAATGCGCCTATCGGAGGAAAATAGCCAATTAAAAAAAATGTTCCTTTTAGGCTGTAATTTTCTCAATAGGTAAACAAAGAATGTATGATCTAAACATTGTTTAGAATAAGTATTTGCCGGTGGAGAATTATTTGTAACATGTCTAAAATTCTATCTGCTGTTAATTAGCTGGAAAATGTAATTGTTTACTTTTTAAGAAAACATACATTATATACAGTAGAAAACAAGCTGTAATCATTTAACGGCAGTAACTGTTTCTTCCTCTATGCCCATTTTATAGTGATGCCCTATTAGCTGTGCATTCAAAAGCAGCATGTTTCATAGACTGTACCATTTGCTACATGGCACTGAAGTTTTATACTAATGTAGTGTGACCCCGATTTCCTAAGTTTGGGTGGCAGTTTTCAATCTATTGTTGGGTCCTGGCATTCATCAAACATCGGGAGACCATATGCCTGGGTCTGTGTGGTTACGAATAATGCAGAAACTTTATAAAAGTCAAATATTAATCCCCTGTGTAAAAGCACTGTTGTTCAAAGATCTCTGAAGACACTTTGAGTCTTATTTTGGAATGGCCGCTGAGATGAGAATGTTTGCATTTCTGGACCACATTCCATTTCTTCTCAGGATGAATGGACTCTTGCTGTGACTTTGGTAGGGTCATACACACTGCTACATGTTTCATCTGCCATCTCCTGCTTTGCCAATTCATTACAGAAGCTAAAGAGAGCTAAATGTGGGTAGAGGTTAAAATGTGTCTCTGACTTTACATCCTTATTTGTAAAACGAAGACTTGAGGTAGCTGTTTCCTTCCTTTCTAGCTTTCCCAATGTAGACTTGCCTTTGTTGCCAAAATCTCTATTTTAGATCTGTAAATTCTTCTATGCACATGCCTGAAATTAATCAGTGACAGTTTATGACTGGTAAGTGGGATTTGCAGACACAGCCCGGGGCTCCAGATGAATCGAAGTGGGTAAAAAATGGCAGGTATTGCTCAGATAGGCGAGATTAATAAGAGGGCATTGCTTCTGCGTTTCCTCTTCCACGCCCCCCTCTCCTCTCCTCTTTCTCCTCCTCCTCCTCCTCCCCAGGATGGCTTTATTCTGAGAGCTACCCAAGGCCAGCCTCATGGTCCTCAGTACAGATCTCTCTCTCTGCCCTCTGCACAGCTGTGTTTGTGACATTTTAAAAATCTATGGCTTACAAAAGGATTTTACTGGACACTTGAAACCTTTTTTGGCTGTCAGGTCACTAAATATAGCTGGAGCATTGACCTTAGCAAACTCACGCATCAGTTTTGTTCAGCTGTTTTTATACAAAAATCCTGAGAGAAACAAAACCACTTGGGAGTTTGCATGACAAGAAGGTAAGGCTATATTGGGTATAGCCTTCTCTTAAATTTGATCTCTACCTGCCGCGTGTTCACCTTGTGCTGGAAACCTCCGGGGCAATGTTTCCCATCATAATCCTGTGACTCTGACAATACCACAGCATGACTCCAGCCCGCCAGGATCTTTTTCTGCTGTCATAGTGACCTTCCAGTCATCTTGTGTGTTTTTATGCTGATAGCATGGATAAGAGTCATCACAAAGTGTAACAGACTAGGGCAAAGTAACATAGCCCAAGAATGGTTTTCTCTTCTTCACAATGAAGGTCTAGGACTAGAAGCTCTCTGAACTTTGGCATTAACTGTCTGCTTGTTTAACATACATCCTATGCCCAGACTCAGTCCTCTCCATATTGTTTTTTTTGTTGTTTTGTTTTTGTTTTTTTAGCTGAGCCATCCTGCTACCTGTTGGCAGCTCAGCGGCTGCTCAGCTCGGGCTGGACTCGAACTGCTGTTGCTCAGAGCTCAAACTCTTGAGCGAGCTCTTAACCAACTGAGCCACTCGGCCGGCCCCCTCTCCATATTGTTTTAACAACAGCTATGTAGGACATTGAATGGCCCCAGATCATTACCTGAAATTCCATTTTCTACCCCCCACCTTCAAATATCCTGCAATCTTCTGATAAAAACCTCATGCTTTTACCTGTCCTGGTAAAATTCTTAGCCCCTTTTCACTTTTCTATTATGTGTTAGAGAATCACTGTGCTCTGAGTATTCCTACCAGCCAGCCAAAAATATTTTGACAAGCTTTTCTGAGGTTTGTATTATGAAAATTATAGGTATTAAAGGGTTTTAAAAATAAATTTACAGACTGTGCTTTTTCAAACGACACATTCTCTTAATTCCAAAATACCATTATGCAAAACTCTGCTCCCGATAAGAATCATTTCTCTACGTGGAAGGACAAGTGGATATTGAAGGACTTCTCTAATTTTCTTATGCCTAAATTGATCTCATAGAAGTACCTGTCTCCCTGGAAAGAATGATTCACAAAGAAGTGTCTCTAACTAATGGGTCCACAGTTTTTGTTCAAGTTTGAATCCCCATGGTGGAGTGGGGCCTCATGGGAGTTTTAGCCTCGTGAAATGGAAATGATTGTAGGGGGAACACATTATCCCTAGATGCTCAGATTGGAGAAAAAAGAAAAGTTCTAGCTACACCCACACAATTGCGTAGTACGATATTAGGTTAGTTCAACAAAAATAGGAACCTTTGTCCTGCACCTGTCTTTCAGGGCACTTAATGAATGACTGTACCTTTAGTTAGAGACCTCCCACTATCTAGCCTTGTGACTTTATTCTGGTGACTTTTATTCTCTACTACTTC